TCCTCCTGCCTCAGCCTCCCAAGTGCTGGGATTACAAGTGTGCACCCGGAACATCTTTGTACATTTCTTTCAGGCCACCAAGTTGCGATTTTATCTCCCCAATGAGGCTACTAAGGTTGTTAATTTTAACATTATAGTATTCCCTTAAAAATATTGACCAGAGAGAGGTGGCCTGCAGCTGTAGCTCAGAGACAGCACTCTCCTGACATGTGTGACTCCCTGGGTTCAGTCCCAAGTACGGAAAAAAGAAAAGACCAATGACACAAAATGAGCATTTCTCCTGAGGCCATGGCCTCCTCCTGGCCCTGCCCCACTCACCCACTTCCTTTTGGCCCTAACCAGCAAGTTTCGTTTTATGACCACACACAATTCCGATTCCTACTCAAAATCCTGTTATTATTCCATTGCCCTCTTCCTCTATTTCTGCACAGTGCAATTCAGAAGCCAGTAGCTGCATGCAAATGCCAACTACTTTACAATATTCAGTATTCACTGACTATTGAACATAGCTAATCTAGACTGAGATATACTTCAAGAACTTCAAATACAAGCTGTTCAAGCACTTAGTTGAAACAAAGTCTGTAAAAATCCTGTAAGTAATTTTTATATTGATTTCATGTTGAACTATTTGGAACATACTCGTTTATATACATTAGAAACTAATTTCACCTGTTCCTTTAATATGGTTGTTTATGTTTTTGTTTTAATGGTACTGGGGATTGAACCTAGGGCCTTCACACTGAGCTACATCCCCAGCCTATTTTTATTTTTTACTTTGAGACAAGGTCCTGAAAGTCACTAAGTTGCCCAGGCTGAGTTCAAACTTGTAATCCTCCTGCTTCAGCCTCCCAGAGTGGTGGCATTACAGGCATGTGCCACCACGCCCAGCTCACATGTTCCCTATATGTGTGCCTAGACACATAGCTCCATCTCGAGGTCCGCCCATCCCCTCTGGCTGACTCACAGTCCCTTTCCCTTCCAATATGCTTTCCTCAGTGCCTGGTCCCCAGGCTCACATCCTAGGAGAAGGTGACTTCCTTCTTGTTCAGGCCTTCCATCCACTGGATCAGTGTAGCAATCCACCTGTGCTGCCTGGGGCTGGCCACATTTCAAGAAGTCTTTTGGTTGGTAGATGCCAAGGAAGCTGTGGGTTGTGTTGTACAAAGTTTGCAGGTACAGGTAGGCATTTTGGTAGCAATGAGGCACCTGCTCTAGATTATATACTATATCTTAAAACTTCCCTTGAAAGAAAAAGAAAGAGAGAAATCCTTTTAGTGTGTAGCGAACTATATTAACCCCAGACCAGGATCCATAGGGTGGGCTTGTACAATGACGGATGAAGAAGAGTAATAAGGCTGAATTATAGTTGTCAAGTCACAGAAAACTGTGGGCGATACCTTCATCAACTACATCTAGGTGACAGATATGGATGACTGAAATTACACAGAAATCAAACATTATATTTCAAGGATAAGAAAACTAGGTATAGAGGATAATAAGGTTGAAAAATACTTATTTCTGAGTAGAGTGGTTAAGTGATGCACAGAATAAAGAGACAGTCAAATTAGCCACAAGCAGTATGTGTTTCATAAGTAGCAAAGCCGAATGAGCGCCATAATGGCTCTGCTCCTTTGTCCTTCCTGGATCTCTGTATTCTTTACCCCAGAATTTCACAGGGCTCTCTCAGCCTGACTGTGGCTCTACCATGTGGCCTCTTATGGAAACGGGATGTTAGCATGTGCTGTCGGGGCTCTGGCCTAAGACCACTGATCTCCGGCTCAGGGGTACGACGACAGAATAACACACAGACAAACATATATTTTAGCTACAAGGGGCACCAGGACAGTCAAAGCCCAACGATGGGCTAAAATTACGAGGCACAGTGTCCTTGGCCTTTACTAGGTGCACAGCTTGATTGCAGGGCTGTGCTGGTGGGCTGCAGGAAGTGGTGCGGGTGAACTGCTGACACAATCAGGGTTCAAGAATGGAGGAACAATGCATTTTTGGAAAAGCACACAGGAACAGATCAGGGCTAACTGGTGACCTGATTTTCTGCAGACTGCGACTACTGAGCTGGAAGGAATTTGCACAAGTCAAGTCCTCAGCAGCCATATTATCTTGCTTTGAGGAGTCAGAACTTCACAGAGTGTGTGTTAGTCTCAGCTCTGGCCATTGGCTTAAAGATTACCCGTCCTTAAGCCAGCCATAGGTCTTGCCACAAGTTATGTAGGCTTAGGACAGGCTCTCACTTTACATTTGTGCCAATTTATTGATATTAATTATCGCCTGCTCTGTACCACATCAACCTGGTCCACAGCAATGTGCGACCTAAGTAGAGGCTTGGAAAAGCCCTGTGCATCCACTTTTGCTGTAGCATCGCATCCCTGACCTATTAGTATACCTGGGCGAGCTTGCTGGAGCAGGAGGACATGTGGAGCCCCAGTGCAGACCCAGTGACACACAGACACATAGACACTCTCCAGGATCAGCTGCCTAACTGACCACCCTGCGTGAATGGACAGGGAATTAATTTTGTTGTGTGATACTGACATTGTGTGGCTGCTTGATAAGCAGCATTCTTACAGCAGTTGATAACCAGTGTAAGTGGCTTCCTTCTAAGTTATCTAAAATCTCGACTTCTCTCAGTGGGCATCGCTACAGTTTGAGTCTTGAGTGTCTCCCCAAGGCCTGTGTGTTTAGTTCCCAGCTCACGGCACTACTGGAAGGAGTGGCACCTTTTGGAGGTGGGGGCTGTGGGATGCTGGCTTTCTGTCCAGTGCCATGAAGGGAACAGGCGACCTCTGCCGTGTGCCTCTGTCACAGTCGACTGTGCTTGCCCAAAGGACAAGGGACCATGGGCTGAACTCTCTGAGACTGTAAGCAGAAATAAACCTTTTCTCTTTTTCTGTTGATTATTTCGAGTATTTTGTCACAGAGACAGAAAGCTGACCAGTTATTTTTATACACAGGGAGGAGGAGGAAGAAGGAACAGGAAGAAGCTTAACTCAAAACCAGTGTTTCCTCTCTACTCTGATTTCATGTATAGGATCCGACATAGAAGGGGTAAGTTATAAAATGAAGTAGTAGAAATAATTTTATCTGAAGGGCTATTTGATTCATATTAAAAACACAGAGGATCTGAGAAAAACTTCTTATCAACTGGGGATTAGGACTGGGGAGTGACAGAGATGGAATTACAAGTTGAAGAGAGGATTAAAAACAAGAAAATCTTCAAGTTTTCCATCAGAGAAGGCTTCTCACGTGGGAAGCTGGCCTCCCCACACTGACCTCCAAGGAAACGCCTGTCCCCTTCCAGCCAGCTGTGCCCAGTGTGAAGAAAGCAAGGCTGGTGCTGTCTGCAGCTGGGGTCTGGCTGGCAGCTCCTTTCTGCCCTGGGTCACCAAGAGCACTGGCTGCTTCTTGAGGATGGAGGCATCATGGCTCCAACTCGTATCTGAGGGGTAAAGGCCAGAGCTTTGGAATCAGGTTAGGACTGGGCTTAAGTGTGAAGTAAAGTGAAGTGGCCACAGAAACTCTAAGAATATATTTCAGGTAAGAGTCTCGAAAAAAGGTAAGTGTGATTCAAGGTCTAGAAACGAGGGTTGGAAATAAGCCTGGGATCTGAGAAACACAGAGCAGAAGCAGCCTGAAATAGAAGTAAATGTGCCGTGTAACAAGGAGCCTTTCGGCCCCGCACTGGCACAAGCTCATTCCAGGGTTCTTAAAGAAAGCGCCTTTGCCTCCCAAACTCTGCAACCTTTAGGCTGTAAAGCAAAGAATCTGGGAGGCTGGGGAGAGGAAATAAAAAGGATCAAGATTCAATACGTATATGTACCAATACTGCACAATGTATGTAGTGTAAAGATACAATAATAAAGAACTTAAAAAAAAAAAAAAAAAGAACTTTAAAAACTCAAACTCCGAAAACTTTTTAGCCATTCACAGTGGCACATACCTGTAACCCCAGCACTCAGGAGGCTGAGGCAGGAGGACTGCTGTGAGTTTGAGGCCAGCCTGAGGTACATGGCAAGACCTTGTCTCCAAAAAGAAATTAAAAAAAAAAAAAAATCTGAATCCAACCTAACTCTAGAGAAATGATGACTAAGACATAGATTGCTCTAAATATGTACAGAATCATTGTGTTGATGATTTGTTTTGGAAGCAGATGAAGATAAGCTAAAGAGACGGGAAATTAGAAAGAAGACACTAACAAAAATCTCTAGATCAGCCGTGAATGCGAGAGATCAAAAATGCCAGTTCCAAGCAGTCTACCCTTGCACTACCCCCTTTCAGGCACCTTGCCATCAGCGCCCTCAGCGTGGCC